CTCCAATTATTGAAGACAATTAGCGATGGTGATCATCTTGACATTCGGAGATTCCTAAGATCTCCTAATGCTGGATGGTTCTCTCAAATTACCACTATTCCTCTAACTACTGGATATCATTCTGTAAGGATATTTATACCGCACTACACACTATTTTATACCACTACTACTACTACACTAAATAAAACCACTACATTGAATCTTTTAAACAAAAATGCTGCCCTTGAAATATTGTTTATTCAGTCACCTGTTAATGTAATATTTATGATGGAGGAAATGGGATCGTGCATGGCTGGTAAGGAACTGAAAATGCTGAAATGCAAGTGTGGCCATTATCTTGAATTCAAATACTATACATAGTGATACTGAGAAAGCGAGAGAATCTCATATCCGTATCATTGGAAACGCATGTGATTTACTTTTCTTTTTGGGAAGCCCAAAGTAATGAATTTTTATGAGGAATTTACTCGGGGTTCTCTTGCCTCCAACTATGCAGTAGTCCAGTCCAAGAGAAAACTTACGTTCGCCAAGTGTGTTGTATGTACCTAGCATTCATTCAGTTCAATTGTACAGCTGTATGACTGACTTCAGTCCTTGAGGAAGTCTTCAAAATCGAAATGCTTGTAAATTACAAATAAGCAATCCAAAGAATGAACTCAAGCGGACCATCGATCAATTAAAACTAAGTGATCGATAGATACTAAATTGTAATCTCAAAGCTGTGACACATTTGTCTTGCCCATTAGACTGCTCGCAATAACCTTCGTTGTCTAGAAAGGCGAAAGCACATAGTTGACACAACTCGCTTTGTCTGCAAGCCGCAAGCCGGCTAACTTTCGACGACCCCAAATAACATGTTTTAAAGGAATCTCAACCACTTGGATGTGACACATTTATAACATCTTTGATAGGATAAACTTTTTGTTCGGAAATATTCGGAATTCTAGCACAACTGTGGCTAAAATCGGCAAAAAGGCGTGCATCACGGAGATCCGTCTTGGTCGACGGTTTCGTTGTAACCGTGATCAGCGAGTTGATAATTCGCCCCGTGATCCTTTGCGAACTGTTGTCCAACCTCCTCTGGTTCTAAACTACGTCATTTTAAATTTGGACTCGTTGTAATGCTTCTAGGGACCATTAACTTACTGCCCAGCGTCAGATAAACGTTTTTAATCGTTATTTGAATGAGTTTTATGGTTTTAAATTGCCAAATAAAAGAATGAGTTGATATTTTTACTAACCCGGTTTTAAAAAAATCCAGGTATAAATAAAAGCTGATAAACCTTTAATGTCACGGGGTCTGCGATAAAATAAATATTCAATAATACTTGTCAAACGCTGGCTACTTAATTTGTATTGAAATATGCATTGGATGTAGAAGATGTCAAAGAATCTGGCTGCGAGAAACTCGGTAAGCGATTTTTAATACATCCATGATTATAAACATGTCTGACCAGTTACTGGTCGCCACTTACTGAGCTGGCAAAAATACCACCATGTACGCGTCTTTCGCAGCTTCAAACACTGTTGACCCCCAACACCACTGCCGTGAATCAGCCACAGTTACGAAAAAGTAAGTGAAATGCTATTTCAATGGAAACTTGTTGAAAATATTACCAAATGCACTCCGCACGCAAAGGCAGCTAATGTCTCTTATCATAATAGATAGCCCTAAAAGTACCCCACGTTTAAGATGAAAAGTTTCTGGGAAAGTGTGGAGTCGAAAGGAGTCTATTGGGTTCTTAAGGGCCTGCTTACATGGAGGTGGGGAACCCGAGGTAGGTGAGATAAAATATGGCGGGTAACCCCACCATCACCACCTATCATGTAAACGTGATCAAATTAAAGTGAGAGATTAAATGGACAAACGGGTTACCCCAACTAAGCAGGTAACTTCACCTACCTGGGGTCCCCCACCTCCATGTAAACAGGCCCCCAGAAGATTACCGAAATGAATAATTCAACCCCCTCCGTAAACAACAGATAAGCAGCGATGCATGACGAGAGAAAGGTCACACAGTCAAATCTTACAGAAAACAGGATAATTTAATAAAGAAATCATTCTGTCTTCTTAATGAAAGATGAGAAATTACGCTAAGACCTACTTTACCTCCATATCTCATCTTTAAAAGGGCGAAAATTTCTCCGAAACTTTAAGTAAAATTCAGGATTTCATCTGACAGACCGGAAACAATCAGCCCGAAATACGTGCAAGACAAGCTGGAAAGATGGTAATATCCTCCTTATCTTTTATGCGAGATGTAATAACAATGTAATTAACATTTCCTTTTTGTAATACCAAACGACTTTTGGAGACAGGTATAGCCACACTGCTTTGTATTGTAATCTATATTAATGTTATGGTCACCTGACCATGTCCAACTGCATTGTAACAACATTCATTTTGCTGATTCTTTCCAGCGTTATAGGATCCTCCCCCTCCTCCGCAGGCATCCATGCTATTTACACCGCTACCTCCTCCAGAGTAGCCTCCTCCACGTCCACCACCTCCTCCGTTTCCATAAGCACCACCACCTCCTCCAAACCCTCCTTCGATATTGTTGTACCGGGCTCTTCCACCCACTCCTCCCTGAAGAAATCCCTTGCCTCCTTCCCCGCCATCCCCTGAACCCCCGAACTGCTTTGAGCTTCTCCCACTGGAGTAAAAGCCACCACCGCCGCCGCCTGGAAAAAAAAAATATCCAAGTTAAAGCTAGAGAAGCATGCATTAGCATTATTCAAAGTCAGGATTTAAATACGGGATTTCCCAAGAGCATCAAGATCATCTAGCGAGGTGTTAGGCCTTTGGGTTAGACACAAGACTAGCTCATAAATACAGTTAGCATTTTTGACTGTTTATTATTGAAAAAAAAAAATTTGCTTTGGATGTTCTGTCTCCTTATGATAGGTTATTGACGTAAAATAATTTTGGAGCGAACTTTCGGCGTAAATTTATCATTTCACATGTGAAATTACAAAATTGCCAAGGCAACCTTCCGGACGTGTCAGTGCCAAGATGGCCACGGAAGTTTTAAAATGTTGTGAATAAAGATGTCAGGGCATTAAAAGACGCTTTAGAAGACCCAAACACACGAAAGAGCACGTCAAGAAGGATTTTAACAGGTAAAGCAAGAATTAACAGGCGAAAGTTTACGCTAGCGGAGAGGATTCATGTGGAAAATTTATGCAGCATCTGGATACTTGTTTACTGATGGCTGGAGCTGACAAAGTTTTGTGTCATATTATCATGTTTTAACCTTCTTTTAGCACTGGATCTTCAAAGAGAAATACAGCTGCTATCAATGCAAGATTATTTTGTCATTATTGGCTGGCTTGTTTATTGGGTTGGGCCGCTTGACAAAAAGTAATCGCCTGGAATCATCGTTTCAAAGATAAGCTACTGTATTCTTAGTAAGCTTATTTCGCCTTGATGGACGCGTAAGAGCGTTGAAAAGTCTTAAGCTATTCTGGCCTTATTTAATAGCTTCCACGTGCTGCATCTCGACCGGTAAGCTTAAGTAATCATATTGCATTTATTTTTTTTTTCTAGTTTCATGAAGTCAAGCGTTGTTTAATGCCGTCACTACGCACATTAGTAAGATTTGGGACAATGATCTGAACTTGAAAAGTCTGATCTTCAGACATTTTCTGACTGCGACTAGAAGGAAAACGTTTTGAAAAATATTTAGCTATCCTATTGGTTGCCTCGAGTGTACAATTCCAACTATTATTTCCGCCCCCAACTACAGCTCTTCTGTAATTATAAGACGAATGCTACGCGGTTTTCTTCATGGCAGTTGCGGCAACTTTTTATTACGAGCGTTGCTAAGCAATATTTGGCTATCATTTGCACAAAGAAACGTCCCCTGGTTTTCGTCCCAGTCATGATTTCATCTGCTAACCTGTGTTGTGAAGTAATTTGAAAGTTATTTTTTAGACAGATCTATCTTATCTTTTAAGTTTAGTTTAGTTCATTAAGTCTTGTTTTTGTCCACGTACTGTTTCCCTGTTATGATCTTTTGTTTTTACTTGTACTTTAATTTATGCTTAGCTCGCGAATTTACTTATTGCCACATTAGGAATGTTATTCGCTTGGCACTGTTTTTAACAGGTGGTCGTGTTTGTGGTGTTACGGCTGGCTGACCTTCGTCCTTTGGTACTTATTAGTTGCGGCTGTGCGTAGACTAATCTATTCCGTAACAATAGCAAACCTGTTGCAATGTTAGCGATATGGTATACAATGGAAACTCTTCCGGTCAGCTAACCCAAACATGTCCAGCTTTGGCTATTAAAACCGCTACTATACCTGAAGTAGGAGAACTGGAGTAGAAGTAGAGAAGTAGAGTAGAAGTAGGAGAAGTACGTTAGTGAAAAAGTGGAAGAGTTAGAAGATTAAGAAGAATAAAGGCAAGATGTAAATCAGATTCCTGGTACCTCATCGTGTAGCGAGCGAGTTGCTCGAACACACCCACACAACTGAAAAAAATGGGACTTTTTTTTACAAGTGTTAGCGATTGACGTGTTCGTCATGCATTTCGCTAACCTGAATCTCTGTTGCCAAAGGCTTGAGCTCCGTATCCACCGCTTCCTCCTGACCATGAGAGATACCCAGCTCTCCCTGCTGTGCCCGTAGAAGCATCACATTCTGTATGTCTTGATCTTGAATAATCCATGCCTCCGCCTCCTCCAGCTACTATCAAAGGCGTGCTCCTTCCTCTCACTACAAATGTACCTCCACCGCCTCCAGCAGTCGAATCATACTTGTTGATTCCACCCTCTTGACCCACGAGTATCTGAATGGTTTCGCTTTTAAATAAGTGAAAAGTCCCTTTCATTCGAGCGCCTCTCCCTCGATATATGCCTCCGTTACTATATTTGTCGTATCCCGCTGCAGCTCCAATCGCCTCTATTCTGTAGTCACCTGTTCGTGGTACAGTCCATTGTTGAATACCGCTGACCAATGTAACTTGACCATCATGATCCTGACCACTGTAGTAACT